AACACAGCTACAGCATGGCACTAATATGAATAGAATAAATTTGAATTATAGGTTAGGATATTACACCTTAAAATGAAAACTTCGAAAGAAATTTCAAGTAGTAAGGCTGAATTTAGGTAAAAAAAGTCTCCGATGAGGCGAGGTAGGCTACGTAAAAAAAAAATAGAATGAGTTACCTATTTAATTAAACGATTACAACGATTTTTTTTTTTTATTTGATACAGTGATTTTTAAACTGGCTATATAGCACGTTTTTTTTTTCAAGTCTCTAGCTCCCCGGGTAGTGCTCGAAATTTGAGTTTACCAGGTTGCACCCGGAACAAAAGGCAAACAGAAAGTGACTTAATAAAAATGTGGTAAAATCATAACACAGTTGCGGAGTGTTTCCCACTGGCAACAGCAATTTGATGGCCCCGCTGGTCGAACGTGACTGCTCATAAGGTCCCGGGTACGAATCCCGGTTCGGGCAAAAAAAAAACATTGAATGTTACTGTAAAGAAATTCTCAGTAGCAGCTCAGTATCAGCACGTTGGCACGTAAAGCCGTTGATCCTGTGCCTAGTCTCTCATCGGACTGTTGTGAGACTGAGAGAATTGAATGCACCTGCGCTTGCGCATGTAGGTACTCGGGTATTATAATCCTGTCCTGTCTAGATGGCTAGTCTCCGAGACTGGCTAAACTGAAATTCGATTTTGAGGACAATTTTTCTGGTTTAAGAAACTCCTTAAACTACAGAATCTATAGGTACAAATCTATACGAATCTTATTTAACTGTGTGCCATTTTAACTTGTTTCTTAAACTATTTTAATATTTAATTATTATAAAACAAAAATAGTCAACAGTGAGTTTCTTTCAGTACAAGTGCTAACGTTTTAATTGTAGAATAAAAGTTTATGTTTAAAAAACGATCGCCCATAGGAACTTTTTTTTTTAATTATTATACGTGGTAGAGCCAGGCTGCTGCTTTATTATAGTTGTAGGGTTCTAGCACGTATGGGTCGGCTCGACCGGGGAGAAATAGCAGCTTAACGCTGCTGTGTTTCGTACGGTAAGTGTCTAGAGATTAGGAGACCCTTTTTTACTGGAAACGAGGCATTCCATCTTAGTCCTCACAGGTGACAACGCATCTGCATTCTGATTCTTAATCGAGGATACATGTAGATGTCTATGGGCCACAGCAACCACTTACCATCTGAGGGACTGTGTGCTCGTTTGTCACCCTTATTCTTTAAAAAAAAAACTCTTATAACATGGGTCTACCTACCAAACAAACAAATTTCATAGAACTGTCACAACAGTGGCGGCGTAGCGTGGATCCCCTCAAAATAAAACAAAAAATGCTAAACATGCTTACGGTGATTTAATTATTCTATAACATTATTAAAATTTACTTTCGATAGATATCTAAGATGGAAAGATTAGTTAGCCGCGCTTGGTTCATTGTGGATTTTAAGTTAGATTTTAGTAACTTGATTTTTGAAAAGCTTCTTCACATGAAGCTGCCGAAACGTGGTAGAGTCACGACGACGTTAGCACGAATGCGTCGGTTCGACCGGGGAAGGACCACGCTCTCACAGTACCAGCGTAACATAGCAGCTTAACGCTGTTTTCGTATGTTGAGTCTAGAGAATCGGAGACCCCTTTTTACTGGAAACGAGGCATTCCATCTTAGTCCTCACGGGTGACAACGCATCTGCATTTTGATTCGTGATCGAGGATAGATGTAGATGTCTGTGGGCCGCAGCATCCACTTACCATCAACTGGACTGTGTGCTCGTTTATCACCCTTATACTATTAAAAAAGCCCACAAATAGTTAAAAAAAATCTTAGACACAGTGATAGATTGAATAGATTAGCATGTACACTGTACCTTGTTCGATCGCGTTACTCACTCGACGAAGCGCTATCTAACCTGAACTCATTTATTTAGGAAATTAAATTATGTTCAAAAGTATACAGATACATACTATAGTAGGTACTACCTACTAGTAATACCCAATAGCTGTTTATTTATTGATAATTCTTCTGTAAGTATTGTATATCTGTGCGAGCGACTAGTCACATGGCAGACCGCATATTGTGAGATTTTAGTAATTTATTCCAGTAATTGATTGGGCAGGCACGAACAATAAGCAGTTATTGCAGACGTGTAAAGTAGCCTCCTCTCACTTCTGAGAGGGTTTTAGGATGAGGAAATGAATGCCACGCTGACCCAATGCGTGTTGGTGAACTTCACATGTCTTCGAAATATTTTTTTTCTTATTTCTCTCCGCACGATCTTTTCCTTCACCGTCGAGCACGTGGTTAAAACAGCACTTAAAATTGCAATTAACAATTTCATTGTTGCCAGCGGGGATCGAAACCGAGTTAATCGCGTACTGTGTAATTAGAGTCGAGCGGCCGCCTGAGTTACCACGGCGAACGTGTGTACCTAATTAAACACAAAATAATTTATATAACACTACGAGAACGTGTAACTCCTTCCGAAATTTCCCATAACTGTTTTGTAATAGTGTTTCTTGTCAGATTCTAGTCAAAAAATTTCAACGCTTAATCTTCTTCGTCATGTATTTTCAAGTTTCAAGAATTTTGTATACGCCACACTTGATATAAACCTTTGGCCGTCTGGCATTTTCCAATGTGTACCTACACCATTATCAATGTAGATCGACAAGATCAGGTGTCATATTGTTATGGGATAGATTGCGGATTGAGGTATAACCTACCATCGCGCCTTTTTTATAGGATAGGGTGACAAACGAGCACACAGTCCAGCTGATGGTAAGTGGTTGCTGTGACCCATAGATCTATCCTCGATTATGAATCAAAGTGCAGATGTGTTGTCACCTGTAAGAACTAAGATAGAATGCCTCGTTTCCAGTAAAAATGGTCTCCGGTTCTCTACACTCACCATACAAAGTACAACAGCTGCTATTTTACGCTGGTACTCTGTGAGAGCATGGTCATACCCCGGTCGAGCCGACCCATTCGTGCTACAACTGTACTACTAACTTACGAGCTAATAAAGTTCGCGAAGATACCGTTTTATTTAACGAGTTGTTTTGTTATAGTAGAAGTGCATGAAAATAAAAACAAAATGTCAGTTCAAGTATTTCATGAACCGCTTCAAGTTTTTTTTAAAGTTGCTGACTTTATGGTTTGTGTAAATTGTTACGGAAAACGAAACATTTTTGAATATAAGAATCAGGCATCAGTAAAAACTGTTGTTTTTTTTTGCATTCAATCCAATACCCTGTGTATCAGAACAGATGTCAACAGATTAATTTTTAAAACGCCGAAGATCTCGAGTGATGTATATTCGCATCCCGTAAACTTTGCGACGGACGCTAGATTGTTAACGGCAAAAGTAACGTTTTTTTTTAAATAATAGAAGAGGGGGCAAACGAGCATACGGTTCACCTGATGTTAAGTGACTACCGCCGCCCATGATCAACCGCAACACCAGGGGAATTGCAGGTGCGTTGCCGGCCCTTTTGAAAGGAGTAAGCTCTTTTCTTGAAGGTCCCCAGGTCGTATCGGTCTGGAAAAATCGCCGGTACGTAGGTAAACGTAGGTAAGACCCTGTGCTTGTCCCAAAGCTAGATATAGATTAAAATTAATTTTGAGAGGGCAAGTACAGTCCATATTTTTCTTTTCTACCACACATTCAAAACCGATAAGACTTGAAACTTGGCAGCCCGACTAAACTTGGTGACCCGAAACAGCAGGAAGTCCAAAAAAAGCAGGCATTCGTCGCGAGGGTATGCCCGCCACGCAACGGCACTGAGCCCAGATGTTCATTATGTCGGCGTAATTATATCGCGCCGGTTTATGTACGCACGGTTTTACAACGGGGCTCGTGTTACATTAGCTTCATATAAATTTCTTATATTGTACCAGTATATCAAGGTCTTTCTTGATTGCGAATTATGTATTTTTTATCGGAGATCCAATTAAAATGGTTTATTTTTAATATACTGAGTGCCAGCGTAATTAGAGCTTCCTGAACGTTCTTTTACCAATGCTAAAAGTGGAAGGTCAACTTATACTGGAAAATTGTATACTTCTAAAGAAAACTTTCGTATGCAGAGCTGTTTTTTTATTTGTGCTTTACTGACGTTATAAAAAATACACAGTGACCGTTATATTAATTTGATAATTAGGAACACAATTATTATAAGACCCCAGAGGAAGTAATACAGAACAATTAATTTGTACATAATACGTCTGAGCAACACTGTGCAGTAGCTGTACTATGGGCCACAGAATAAATAAGTCCTACGTACTATGGCTTCAGCACGAATAGGTTGGCTTGGCCGGGGAAGTACCACGCTCTCACAGATTACCAGCGTGTAATATCAACCTATGCTGCTATGTTTTGTGTGGTGAATCAAATGAGCTCATGTGGGTGAGCATAAAGAACCAGAGAGCTTTTATACCGGTAACATATATTCCATGACATTCCATGTTTAGTTCTCAGGTGGGACAAGGATAAACCACCTGTGTTTTGATTCTTAATCTTAATAATGAAAGTGGGTGGGTGTCGTCTTTAGGAGATATGATTTGAATTTCGATAGATTTTAATTAATTTATTTATCCAATTCAAAATTTTTGTTTTTATTGTATAGTAGCCCATAGGCTTCTTACTCCGTTCACATGTTACAACATACACCCTATATTTTTTTTCCAGACGGTAAAAAAGGCCATCCAGTAGAATAAACCATCATGGTATTTTATGTTTTAAACTCTTATGTATATTTTTCTTAATTTAGTACTTTCAACACGAGCTTGAAAATTATTTTTTTTTTAAGTTAGGAAAGAATAATTAAAAAAAAAACACGACACAAACGCGCCGAGTTGCAATGCGCACACCAGAGGGACATGAACGTGCGGAGATGTTCTGAAACAAGACAAGCGGCAAAGGCAAGCGGACGGAGTGTCGCTTGTTGCGCAGTTGGCGCGCAGCTACCAGGCTCGCATATGTTGGGAGGTACTTACCGGGGTACTGCCAGAGCGGCGCGGGGGGCACAGGGGCGGGCGCCGGCCACGCCATCGGGGCGGAGCGCTCGTCACACAGCACGTTAGCCACGCCTACCGTCATGGCCGCTTGCGCCGCGTCTGCGGTGTGAGAACAGAATGACGTGGCGCCTGCAATGTGCCGCACGTGTAAACGGATGTGTCAACCAACTGGCGAATATTATGTCTTAGTCTTACTAAATGCACGTTTAATTTTATTTATTTTTTTAATAAAAAAACAAATCCAATTCTGCAATCATCAAAAAAAGGAACATCGTCGTGGATATATATTTATTTTATAAAATTATATCAATCTAAATAAATATAATAAAAGAAATCATTAACTCTTATTATGATGAAAACTTGCAATAAAATTCGTCATAAATTTTTTGGAGTTATTATTTAACGACTAACCCAGGCGATTCCTCTACCGTGACGTATCCTAATTAAATAGCAAAAGTAATATACCTAGTCACACATTCATTCAACGCCAAGTACGTTCACAGTTTCAGTCCAGGTACTTACCTAAAATGTTGACCAGATTCATTTAATGCAGACTTCTTCATGACGTTTAAATTCACTATAGAACGCCTAGTTATTAAAATAGGTGCGGTTAAGCTTTGAAAATTTCGTTAAGGATTTATAAGTCGTTTTCATTCACCAATTTTTACATCATTCATGCCGTCAGCAAAATAATGTGTACTTTGTTCAGAAAAATTGTGCATAATTTACTCAACAAAATACAAGTCATACTAGGTTGTATAATAGGTATTCAAAAACTGAAGGTTACTGGTCTAACTAAGAGATTGGGAAGTTAAACACCTCAGTCCCCCACCGTGTCCATGGGTTCTGTAAAACACCCGAAACGTCAGGCTTTAAAAAGTTAAATTAAACGCGATGAAATCCGTAGAAATTTCATTTAAGGTTACACTTTTACCAGTATCAAGTTATATGAAGTTCTTCCATCAAAATATTTTCTTTGAAAATCTTCTTCACAAGATGCTGATGCGGTATGTACGAAGTTTTTGAGAGATTTTGGTAGATCTAAACCATTAGACAATCGATTAAAACAGTGTCTAGAGTCCAAGCGAACAAAATAACTTGATGTTTATATCAGTATTTTAACACTTATTTCCTCGTTTCCACTTACGAGCAAACAATACTTACAAAATAGAATTAAATTAAACGCGATAAAATACCCAAATCATTGGTTTCATTTAATGTGTAATTTTCGCGTCAATATAAGAATACTATAGTATAACCGTACGATACTTTACCTCTATTTCAGACTCAAAAATTGATCTTGTTCCCCCTAATTTGAAACTTTTAATGGAGGACAAGGCAATATCGCGCGTATTCGAAATTCTCTCTGCTAGGTGAGGTAAGAGTTTAAAAATCACTGAGGTGACGCGCAATGTTAGTTTCTTATGTTATGGTATATGTTACGTTCTTTTTCATTAATAAACGTTGCTACTTACACCATAGCAGCATTTTATACGAAACAATATGATATAGGTGGATACTTTATTCACATTTTATGTCCTTTTTAATCTTATCACAGGCTCTAAAACATAAAACGGGAAGTGAAAACCCTTTTTACATCCATGATACAGGAGAATTTCTTTTTAATATTTTCCTAACATGTAAACTTAACAATTTAATCATTATTCAAAGTCATAAATTTATTTTTTTAGTTAGAAGTTATCTGGAATAAAACTGTCTAAGTAAGAATGCTTTCGAGAAAATTCTACAGTACCCATTGGCCAATAGAAACAATAACAATCATACTGGAATGTATCGGTCACAAACTTTGTGTTGTCAACGCGGCCGTATCTGAGCAAGCAGCGTGCGCACTTCGTGACTTGTACAACCAATGTTTTTTTTTTAAATGAAAGTAAGTGTGACAAAAACAAACAGTCCACTTGCCATCAGTGAATGAAAATATATTATGAATATTAAGTAGGTATTAGCCTCTTAAATATCTAAACCAGACTTGATTTACAAATAAAATGCAGATGCGCTGTGCGTGTGCGTGCGTGCGTGCGCGTGCGCGCGTGCGTGCGTGCGTGCGTGCGTGCGTGCGTGCGTGGTGCGTGCGTGTGTGTGTGTGTGTGTGTGTGTGTGTGTGTGTGTGTGTGTGTGTGTGTGTGTGTGTGTATGTGCGTGCGTGCGTGACTACTGTGGTAAAAGTCAGAAAAATCTCTTGGCTTCCGATACACGGTGATATGAAATCACCATTTACGTACCTAAATATCTCTTCAACATCTGAAATGTTGAATCCCATCTAATTTCAACATCTTGAAACAAAACATGTTTCGGTATATTGTTAGCGTGTTGGGAATCTTTCAGTTGTTAGAGTGTGTGTGAGAGTTTCAGTGATAACTCCCCTGCCCTTGTGTAGCCCTCGTTGCGGCTTAGGGCCTATGCAAACGTCGTCGTATTTTTTACGCACCGACGAAGCGCGATGCCAGTACCTAATTAGAGTTGCGTACAAAAATATTAGTTTTTAAATATTCGTGAATAGTATTCGCCGAATACGAATATTCGGTAAATGTCTATTATTCGGCGAATACGAATATTCGTATTCGTACTCATTGCATCACTAGTTTAGATAATACATTTGGACCCGGTAGGTAGCGCTGTTGTCGAGATCCAATCGATATCTAAAAAATAACCGCAGTAGCTTAGAGGCTGGCTTATTTTCATAATACACGAGCAGAGCGATCCCCGCCGATATGTTGTTGACCGTAATATTTGTGATTTATCCTATTTTCGGCAGTGAAGGAATAATATTTTGAGGAAATAAACATAATTGAGAAATTAAAATATTTCAGTGACATGCGAAGGCCATAAAACACGTTGGAACAGCAAGAGAAAGTTTTCTAGTTTTATACACTTTTAGGTATACATGAGAGTAGACCTATGCCTAACTGGGACGTATGTAAAATGTTACATTTTTTTAAATTCTTATAGAAACCTGATACATCCTCACAAAAAAAATATTTAATCTTTATTTACAAATCGTTTGTCTTATTCAACTTATTTTTATGAAATTTAAGCGTGATTGGGGATATTGCCCATTATAAGTCGACTCGTGACATCGTAGCGAAAGGTCGAACTGTTTGCTAACGGAAATCTTAGTTCTACCCACGATGGTGTTAAAAAAATGTTCTAAGTGTAAGAAAAATATCACGAAGAAAGCCCCAGGCCTAGAGTGTAGTAGTTGTGATAAGATAGTTCACGCTGATGCCACCTGTTCCAAACTATCTAACAAGCAGCTGAATACGCTTCGCAACTCTCCGGGTATCGAGTGGAGCTGTGAAGACTGCTTAAAAATATTTCCAGAAGATCTTCTTTCATGATTCCAGAGGACGACGATGGAGATGATGAATCCGATGTAGGGTCCAACCTACAACCAATTGACACACGCAAGCTAGTACAAGATATAAGTCGCGAGATGAAAAAAACCTTTAAGGAGGAGATAGGCAACCTCGAGGCCTCCCTGGAGTTCTTGAGTGATCAAATCTCTACTATGGAGCAATCTATCAAAAAACAGGATGGCGCCATCAGGGGTTTAGAGACCAAAAACCAAGACCTAGTTAACAAAAATAAAAAACTAGAACTGAGAGTAGGTATCTGCGATGGAACAAGAGATAAATAATTACGAACAAAAGAGTCTAGCATCTACTCTAGAAATAGCTGGTTTACCTGATACACCTCCAAAAGATATACCAGAAGTACTTGAAATGATAGCTGTTAAACTCGAATTAAACAAAGATGACATCCAATCCTCGTCACGACTACCCGGATCAAAAAATAAACCTGGCCCGATTCTCGTCGAAATGAAGAGTAAAGCTATTCGTAGCCGATGGATTGAAGTCAGCAAAGGAAGAACGCTCACAGCTGGAGCTCTAGTACCCAACATCCCCCACGATTCTGTCGAAAACCGTGTATACTTCAGGGAAGCACTAACGAAATTGAATAAAACACTATTGTATACAGCAAAATCCCAACTAGGTAAATCTTTTCAATTCATATGGTGTAAAGATGGGAAAGTATGTGTTCGAAAAACTAGCAATAGTAGAATCTTATATATCCGATCTATTTATGACATTAACCGCTTACAAAAACAACCGGAAAGCTCCGTGATTCTAAATTAGTCACTCACTTTCAAATCACAGCTTTCGTAATTAAAAACAGTTGTAATAGAATGTCAGAACAAATAAATCAATTAACAAATTGTACTTCGACAAACTCGTTTTTCAAACAGCTACCTAGCAACTGTCATTTAAATATTTCTTGTTTGCACGTTAATATAAGATCTATGATAAAAAACTTTACGAAATTACAACAAGTCATTCATAACTGCACGTTTCCTGTAGACATAATAGTCGTAACAGAGGCTGGTATCTCCAATAATATTGTAAATCTATATAACTTGACGGGCTATAACATGTACACACTACTACGGTCTAATGAAAGAGAGGGCGGCATTATTATATACATTAAAATCACCTTAAATTCACCTAATACATCAACAAACCAAAACATTTGAAAACATAATAGGTACTATAAAACTTAACTCAAATCAAGATATAGTTTTGTGTGCAGTAACAAATAGTATAAACCCAAAAACAAATAGGTATATTTTTGTAAAGGAGTTGAGCAAATGCATGTCCACGTTTAACGAAAAAAGAAATCTAATCTTGATAGGTGATACAAATATTGACCTGAAAAGTGCCTCATCACTTAAGGGGAAATATAACCTCAAATGGCTTAGCAAGATCCTCCGTTATGCCGAAAGTATTGCAGCATTAATTTTGAAATAAATATATGGTAAAGTTGAGGATTAATGTTAAGGTTTATGTTAGACGAAAACACGATTCCGTAAAATTTTCTCGATAAAAAAAAATCCAAAGTTACCTCCAAACTGAACAATAAACCGCTGTTATTCATAAAATACTTTAAATAAGATCATGAAACTTTGCATACTAACTGAACTAACCATAAAGCAGTGCTTATGTTATTTACTTTTTTTTAAAATATCATTATTTTCACTGTAAAAAAGAAATTACCTAAACTATCGGCGCGTAAGCTTGGTT